GTGTAGCTGCGAAGAAACACTACCGCTCACATGGACAACCAAGCCATGCCCCAGATAGTAAAATTTACATCTTTTTTCACCATTGCATGGGCGTTCACAACATTAATGTGCGACATCTTTGGTATCTAGTGCATTAAAATTCACAAATGTGCATTGGTTCCCCCCCAAAAAACATGGAAAATCCAACAATTTATTCTCTAGGGATCCTGCTTGGTTAAATCTGGTTGATGCCAACGTGCATGAAAACTGAGGTAAACTGATGTCTCTGGAAGTTAAATATGCTCAATTTGTACCATCAGTTTTTATGCACGTATGTTGTTAATGAGCCCTAAATGAATGTCACCTAAAAACGTGCACGGTTTAGGAGATATTCACTTGGTTGGCAGCGTTCAAGTGCTGTTCCTTCATAACTTTGTGCAGTGGCGGTCATTCCTGTGCACATGCATGGGAGTAACGCCATTGAGGCTTGGCCATTCAAACTGCTGCAGCCCATGAACCCAGAAGACTGGGTGAAGAAGGAAGCCTCTGCAATAACAGTGCACCGCTGGAGGGCTTCGTTTCAAGGCAAGTCTTTCACATTATGCCTTTACCTTGCAGGGAGAAAGTTTGTTTTTTGGGGGATTTTTTTTTTTTAAGTTTACTACCGCTTTAAGGAGAAATGCTACGACTGTGAAATTGAGAGTGCCACACTTAAAACAACATTTCTTAACACGATATTATAATGCTTACTGTTTGAAATTCATGCAATAACCTTCAATTGTACACTTCTTACTGCTTCCCTGTCATGTTGTACTTCATTAAACTTTTTAAACAGCAATTGTGACAGAAAAAAAAAAATAAAAAAAATAAGCTGGCTTCTAATCTACATCTGGTTATAGAAGCATTTTACTGGAGTGGGGGGGTGGAAACAACACACACACACACACACACACACACACACACAACACAAACAAGGAGTGGTGAGGAAGCTACAAAACTGTATTCACTCAAAATAAAATAAAAAAAAAAAAATTCCCTGAAAAAGGGCAGCCAATTATTCTATCAAGCACAAAAAAGGTATGCTTTTCATGTTTCTAGTCACTTTCTAAAACTCTGATCACTTAAAAAGGCATTCAGACTGCAGTGTAATTTTTAACTAAACTCCATAAACTAAATATAATTTTCCTGGCAAAAAAACTGGAAATCAACAGAAGCTTAGAGTTTTCTTTTCTTTTTTTGCTAATGGCAGATTCGCCAGAGCTAATTTGTTCTTATGCACGTTGCATGATTCATCCCACTATGTTTGACTGAATCTGACTGGGAAATTAGAAAACAAGGAGTATACTCCCAGTAAACCCAAGTGGGGCTGCATAAAAGCTGCCAACAGCGTTTGCCAATTAATGTAAATTTTTTACACTGCTAAAGCATTTGCTGGAGAGCATTGCTATCTTACTGACTAGTTTTACCCGTTACCTTGAAATGCTCTAGAAAACTACACTGCTCAAAAAAAAAAATTAAAGGAACACTTTGAAAACACATCAGATCTCAATGGGGGAAAAATATCATGCTGGTTATCTATACTGATATGGACTGGGTAATGTGTTAGGAATGTAAGGATTCCCCATTATTTGATGGAAATGAAAATCAACCTACAGAGGACTGAATTCAAAGACACCCTGAAAATCAAAATGGAAAAAATGATGCAGCAGGCTAGTACATTTTGCTGAAATTTCATTGCAGAAACTCAAAAATGGTACTCAGTAGTTTGTATGGCCCCCACATGCTTGTATGCAATTCCTGACAATGTTGGGGCATAATCCTAATGAGACGGCGGATGGTGTCCTGGAGTATTTCTTCCCAGATCTGGACCAGGGCATTACTGAGCTCCTGGACAGTCTGAGGTTCAACCTGGCAGCGTCAGATGGACCGAAACATTATGTCCTTGAGGTGTTGTGTTGGATTTAGGTCAGGTGCGCATGGGGGCCAATTCAATGGTATCATTTCCTTCATCCTCAGGGAACTGCCTGCATACTCTCGCCACATGAGGCCAGGCATTGTCGTGCACCAGGAGGAACCCAGGACCCACTGCACCATCGTAGGATCTGAAAGTGGGTTCAAAGTTTTCATCCTGATACTGTTTGAAAGTCAGGATGCCACTGTCTAGCCTGTAGAGGCCTATGCGTCCCTCCATGGATATGCCTCCCTACACCATCACTGGCCCACCACCAAAACGGTCCTGCTGAACGATGTTACAGGCAGCATAATTTTCTCCACTGCTTCTCCAGAAGTCTGTCACGTGCTCAGGGTGAACCTGCTCTCATCTGTGAAAAACACAGGGCGCCAGTGGCAGACCTGCCAATTTTGGTGTTCAATGGCAAATGTCAATCGAGCTCTATGGTGCCAGGCAGACAGGGCCCACTAGAGGACGTCGGGCCCGGTGACCACCCTCATGAAGTCTGTTTCTGATTGTTTGTTCAGAGACATTCACACCAGTGGCCTGCTGGAGATCATTTTGTAGGGCTCTGGCAGTGCTCATCTAGTTCCTCCTTGCACGAAGAAGCAGATATCGGTCCTGTCGATGGGTTAAGGATCTTCTACGGCCCTGTCCAGCTCTTCTAGAGTAACTCACTGTCTCCTGGAATCTCCTTCATGCTCTCGAGATGGTGCTGGGAGACACAGCAAACCTTATGGCAATGACAAGTATTGATGTGCCATCCTGAAGGAGCTGGACTGCATGTGCAACCTCTGTAGGGTCCAGGTATTGCCTCATTCTACCAGTAGTGACACTGATCCTAGCCAAAATGCAAAAACTAGTGAAAAACAGTCACAAAAGAGTAGGGGGAAAACAAATGGCAGTGGAATCCACCTGTAAAAGCATTCATGTTTTGGGGATCGTCTCATTGTTGCCCATCTAGTGCACCTGTTAAATTTCCTTAACACCAAAGCAGCTGAAACCGATTAAACAACCCCTTCTGGTACTTAAACTCCTGGGATATTGATCTGGTCAGTTAACTGACTTGATGCTATACTCTGATTAAAAAGTGTTCCTTTGCTGAAACACTTTTTAAATGAGAACAGTTCGGGGAGGAGCCAAATCATAGCGCCGACAGGACACTAAAGTTAGGAGCTCCCGATGTACCTGACGTCTACCTTACCATAGGAGCCACGGCTCTTTGAAACCGCTGTCCTGGCATATCCTTCTCCACGGGGCTGTATTTGTGGAGTGTGGAGGCTCTGATCGCCCCTGTTTGTGTGGGAGTCGTGGTTGGAGTGCGGAGGGGAATCCCAGGAACAGCCGCTCGCTCACTGCACAGGAGACGGAACGCAGGAGCGCTCTGATGGATGCGAGCTCCCGGGTCCCCCAGATCTTTGGTGACAGTTGAGGAATGCCTGTGTGAGGACGACAGGGTTCCCTAGAAGGCGCTCTGCGTAAAGATTTAAGAGATTGGAGCGTCGACTCTTCTCCTCTCTCCCCTTCTTTCTATTTTTTTTTCTTCCTTTCTCTACATTAAAGCCAGACATCGGGAAGCTCAATATGTTACGTATATATGTGATTGGAGGTTTGGGAATAGTGTTCTGGATAAGTATACAGGTTTTGAGAGTAACCCCAAAGAGAGGAGTCGATTATTGGCCAAAGGAGGTTAAAAATAGGGATGGGTGAGGGGAGGGGGGTGGGTGGAAGTTGGGCAATAAAGGTCACACCAAGATATTTTCTTGTTGCAAATTTCATATATCTGTGCTCCTTTAAGTTGGTTTTCAGATGGAGGAGAACGTTAGCAGTAGGAATGATTATGAGTAATTTTAAAGGCATAAGATTCTCAGGGAAATCCATCAACATTCCTCTGATGTAGAGTTTTTGCAAGAGACATATTTATCACAGTATACAAAATGTCAAACTATATTCCAAACATTACCCAACGTGGTATTATGCGGATTCACCAATTAAACATGCAAAAAGGGGTTGCAATTGGGTTGGCAAAAAAAAAAAAAAAAAAAAACGGAAGATTTACTATGGAAGATAGACTAGATGATCCAGAAGGTAATTTTTTATATTTCTGAAAGGGAAATTACAAGGAACTTACAACTTAATGACATACCTAGAGAACTTGCTAAGAAAACTTCTAAACTTTAAGAAGGGTTACCTGATTGTAGCAGGAGATTTTAATTTTTGTATGAACTCTTTGGATGGATACTTTATTGCGGGCAGGCACAGGGAGACGGAGGTAAATATCTGACGTTGGTTAAGAAAATGTTACATCAGTGTCAAGTGATGGACTCATGGAGAATTAAACATCCAAGAGACAGAAATTATACATTTTTCTCTCCAGCACACAGGATGTACTCAAGATTGGATTACATAAAGATAGAACATAGACTTTTAGTCTTTGGTAAATTCCAAAATTGAGGTAATGTCTATCAGATCACACACCTGTTATAACGAGATTAAGGCTGAAAGGGGAACAGTGGAGTCTCTCAGTATTACAATACACCTACCAATCGATTTTTAGACTGATCATTTCTTTGTGCGTGGGCAAACATTCAAAATCAGCAGGGGATCAAATACTTATACTTCTAAGAATACTTGGGACAGCTGGATGGTTCTGGATCTAGGAGGTATTCAGAATTGACCAGGGGGGGTAAAGGAGGGTTTTAGACAGGATAGGAAAGATTGTTTTTCTAGTGTTTGATAGGTAGGGAAGGATAGTGGAGTGAGACAAAAAAGGAGGTTAGGAATAAAACACTGGAACAGGAAGAAAGAGGTTTAAAGTAGGAGGTGACCAAAAGGAGGGGGGGTTTATGTAAAAATCTGTTATGGAGATTGTATGAATTTAATGTGTGAAAAACTGTTGTCTTTACAATATAAAATTCATAAAAGTAAAGAAAACAAACATTGTTCCTTGAATTTTTTTGAGCGGTGTACAACAAAAAAAACAAACAAAAAAAAAAAGACAAAAAAAAACACAGTATACATATACAGTGACATGTAGGTCTTTTTAGTGAAAAATTTGCAGATTATCTACCTTTGCTGACCTTTTGTGCAGCTACTACCGGCTTAAATAGGTCATTCAGTTCTTGTAGTTCTTTCTTTTTGTCATCTTTTTTGAGTTTCTTTTCACCATCAATCTGCGTAACCTATAAAAAAAAGCCACATGAGGAATATTTTGCAAATAAAAGGAACAAAAAGCAAACTCACACAATTGCAAAAGAATACGAAAAACAGGCAATGTGTCAAAACACCTTAAATAAAACAAAAACAGAAAACACACACACACACACACACACACTTTACAACTTACCAAGCGAGGGTTCTGCTGGCCACACTTCACTTGTTGTGTAACATTCTTAATGAATTTTTGCTGCTTGGCACCTTTCTTATTCTTTAGACCAAATGTTTTGTCCTTTAAACAAAGAAATAATCTGTTAAAAAAACAAGTTTAAAAACAAACAACACACACAATAAAAAGAAAATTGTTTGGCTTGCTTTTTTTTTTTGTGCATGAATCAACCTGACCTTTTTCTGCCCAGTGGATCTTTGAATTATTCCATTACTAGAATAGTAACGCTGAAGGGAAAAAAGCATCAATCGTTACACATGGGTGTTCCAAGATGGCGAACAACGCAATGACGTCAGAAGGAAGGCTCTGCCCGACAGGTTTCGTCATAACCAGACGTTTTCCGGGGCCCATGTGTAACGATTGATGCATTTTTACCTTCAGCGTTTTGTAAGTGCAATTCTGTCTAAATAAAGTAACTGGTTTTACTGCACTATGAGAGTTACCTCTTTATTTTGCATGAGCCAATCTTGATTCCTAACATCAGAACGGCTTGATGGTATCTCAGCGGAGTATTGGGTCCCAGATAAAGCCCATGAGTCTGGACAGAATAATACCTATATTGAGCATATTTTGACTCCCTATAATTAAAGGGGTCTGATGATCTGGTAAGCCTCTAATTTGATAGTACGGTGGTAGCTACTCACATTGGTGGTTTTTGATGGAATGAAGAATGTTCACCACTGAATGCAGTCTAATAGATGTCAATGGGAACTGCATGTAAAATGTGGATACAACTGCACCGCGGCCAAGCTGTAGTGTACCAATGTGAACCAGACCTAAGAGCCAGGCACAGTCCACAAGTATGGCTGACATGGATTGAGAGCAAAGCCATATTAGCCTTATAAACTTGGGTGTATGCATTACATCCAGGAGAACAAGCACCTTTTACCAACTCCCTTGCAGCTGTTGCTGGGTAGATTATGAACTGATCCCCTGTGCATCAATGCAGTAGCCGACAAATCCAAAAACACTCCTAACAGCAGCCTCACACTTTGCTTATAAGCCTCTGGTGGATGTGGAGGTAGAACCAGGTTTCCAGGCAGTCTACATCAGCTGTGGACTTTGCCAGGACAGTCGAGGGGCCAACTACACTGGTCTTAAAGGCCAACTCCACTTTTGTGGGAACAAAAAAAAATAGCAAAATAAAAAAAAAACAACAAAAAAAAAAAAAAACTTAATATAGCATATACCAGGGCTTGAAAAAGCCGCTCGCCAAATGCGAGGAGAAATTCTTGTGTGGCGAGCAGAGATGGAGCGGCTGCACCTGCGCTCCAAGCCTCATTTTGAAGCAGAGTTCCGACTTCTACAGCACCGCCATTACACTGGCAGCACCGCTGAGGGGACAGGTGCAGGAGTGGTCCGCTCTCCTCCACTGAGAGGAGACACCCTCTCCACCGCCGCCACTGAAGTGGTATTTTGCATCAAAAAAAAAGGTATTACATAAGTCTTGGTCCTGCTGTAAAATGAAAACCATTGCAAATCTTGATGTGAAACTGGCTTCCTACTGCTTTTTGTCATCCACAAAATTATTTTTGATGTTTTTTTTCATGATTGAATGCAATCCACACACAGCCATTGAAGTGGTATTTTGCATCAGAAAAAGGATATTACACAAGTCTTGGTCCTGCTGTACAACACAAACCATGGCTGCTCTATTAGCACATATTTGGTAAAATGTTTACTATTGTTATGCCTTGTTTTTTGCATCTAAATAAGTACTTTTTTGTTTTTTCTTAATGCACTACTTCTCTAAGCTCTCTTTTAATAAGATGCTGGAATTAAAAAAAATGCTAAAATGTTTGTTATTTTATGCAATGTTTTTAGCCATCAAAAGAGGCACTTTTTTCTTTATACCACACTTCTCTAAGGTCTCTGCTGGAGATATATATAAAAAAAAAAAAAAAAATCTTTACAGTAACTATTATTCCATGTTTTTTGGCATCAAAATAAGCACTTTCTTATGCTATACTTCTGTAACCTAAACTTGCATCTTTTAAAAGAGACTTTAGTTACTAAAGTCTCTTTTTAAAGATGCAGGAGATAAACAAAAACAATACAAAATGTTCACTACAGGTTTAAAATTGTAAAACTTGATATTTTGATTGCACCCTATTGCCATTAAGCTATTGCTGTTATGTTTAAATTGATATAATATAATAAATAAAAATGTTGTAATTGCAGTTTTTTATATTTTGGACTCTTTATTCTAAAGAAAAAATCTAATTTCATAAGCTATAAGGGGGTGTACCTGGGCAAGGTTGGGTGGGGCAACTGGTGGAGAGTAAGGTTTGTGCCTGGCTAGTAGGTCTAGACTCGAAATTTTAAGCCCTGGCATATGCAATTGCTACACAAGTCATATTGTAATCTAAAAAGAGGATTTTCACCCTGTAAGATTAAAAAAAAAAAAAAAAACTAAGATTCAACAGCTACAAATATTGAAGCTGCTGATTTAACAGCTTTCCTGCCACCCTATAGCAGATATACTGCTACAGGGCGGCAAGGGTGTGCAAAATCACACACACACACACACACACACACACACACACACACACGAGCAATTTTGCATCTCCGGGTAGGGGTCCCAGTCGGTGATTATTCGGCAGCACACAGCGATTGAGGAGCATTACCGATGGAAGGACATAACTGAGTAAATGCAGTGCTCTCCCCCCCCCCCCCCCCCCCTGGAGCAAAACCATCCAAATATGGGAGATTGAGTTAAGCTTATTAACCTGTGGGTGCCGCAAATATGCAACCTCTCGGCGGCTGGGCCTTGCCGTATTTGTGTACCAAAAAGTAAACAAAAAAAAAAACAAACACCATGTGCTGAGAGCGTGAGCTCTGCGCACTCCCGGCACCTCATGTAAAAGGTCCTGATAACTGCTTGTAATCGGGACATTTCCGATCATGTGACTGCTGTGACAGCCAATCACGGTGGTCACATGACCCTAAACCTTGCCCCACCTCCTGGCATCAGAAACCCCTTAAAAGGCTGGGTGGCACTGGCACCAAGGGGTTAAAAAAAATGGCCTTTCCATTTCAATTGGCAGTGCTGTCATTTACTGTAAAATGCAATGTAATATGGCTACCTAGAGCTATTTTGTACACAAATGGTGTATGAAATGCCCCAAAAATGTCATTTCTTTGGTATCAAAACCATCCTTTCTAGGTAGATCAAGTACATAAATTCCCTTTACTTTCAGTCCATTAGTACATTGTGAATTTGTCATTTGCCCGTTTTATTAATCCTCAAGTACTCACCAGTTTTGGCACATAATGGCCATTTTGTCTTCCCAATATAAAACATTCCAACCAATAAACTACTCTCATAGTTGAGCAAAATATAAACCATTTACCCAAATTTGATCGACCCCTCTGCATAATAAAATGTCCCTGTCTTGTGTACATATGCACAAATTTTACTAAACCCACAGAGTATTGTCAAGAACATCCAACTGATGGTCTATGTTTAACACTGTATTCTGAAGTTACGGGCTGCCAACCTCAAAGTGAGTTGGATGAGACAGCAGAGCCCTTATTTTTATAGTATTTGGTAAATGCACATCAGAAAGGTCCATATAAAATATGTTACAGTAAAAAAAGGGACAAAAAAAAAATAATATATATATATATATATATATATATATATATATATATATATATATATACACATACATATATATACACACATATATACACATACACACACACATATATACACACATACACACCAGAAAACAAATCCATATACAGGTAAAACTCGAAAAATTAGAATATCGTGCAAAAGTTCATTTATTTCAGTAATGCAACTTGAAAGGTGAAACTAATATATGAGATAAACTCATTACATGCAAAGCAAGATAGTTCAAGCCGTGATTTGTCATAATTGTGATGATTATGGCTTACAGCTCATGAAAACCCCAAATCCACAATCTCAGAAAATTAGAATATTACATGTAATCAATAAAACAAGGATTGTACATAGAACAATATCGGACCTCTGAAAAGTATAAGCATGCATATATACTCAGTACTTGGTTTGGGCCCCTTTTGCAGCAATTACTGCCTCAATGCGGCATGGCATGGAAGCTATCAGCCTGTGCACTGCTGAGGTGTTATGGAAGACCAGGATGCTTCAATAGCGGCCTTCAGCTCTTCTGCATTGTTCGGTCTCATGTCTCTCATCTTTCTCTTGGCAATGCCCCATAGATTCTCTATGGGGTTCAGGTCAGGAGAGTTTGCTGGCCAATCAAACACAGTAATCCCATGGTCACTTGAACCAGGTTTTTGTGCTTTTGGCAGTGTGGGCAGGTGCCAAGTCCTGCTGGAAAATCAAGTCAGCATCCCCATAAAGCTTGTCTGCGGAAGGAAGCATGAAGTGCTCCAAAATCTCCTGGTAGACGGCTGCGTTGACCCTGGACTTAATGAAGCACAGTGGACCAACACCAGCAGATGACATGGCTCCTCAAATCAACACAGACTGTGGAAACTTCACACTGGACTTCAAGCATCTTGCAGTGTGTGCCTCTCTATTCTTCCTCCATACTCTGGGTCCTTGGTTTCCAAATGAGATGCAAAAGTTGCTCTCATCAGAAGAGGACTCTCGACCACTGAGCAACAGACCGGGTCCGTTTTCCTTTAGCCCAGGTAAGACACTTGTGACGTTGTTTGTTGTTCATGAGCGGCTTGACAAGAGGAATACGACATTTAAGCCCATGTCCAGGATCCGTCTGTGTGTGGTGGCTCTTGATGCACTGACTCCAGCCTCAGTCCACTCCTTGTGAAAGTCCCAAACACTTTTGAATGGCCTTTTCCTGACAATCCTCTCCAGGCTGAGGTCAACCCTGCTGTTTGTGCACCTTTTTCTTCCACACTTTTCCCTTCCACATAACTTTCTATTAATGTGCTTTGATACAGCACTTTGGGAACATCCAACTTCTTTGGCAATTATCTTTTGAGTCTTTCCCTCCTTATGGGGGGTGTCAATGATGGTGTCAGGTCAGCACTCTTTCCCATGATTGTGATTCCTACTGAACCAGACTGAGAGACCATTTAAAGGCTTAGGA